AGAACATGATCACTATCTTCCTATAAGGCATGGTGATCTTAATTAACTCAATCCCATAGAGAAGAAAATGAAGATTCAATTAAAGCCACAAATAAAATGATGAGCATGTTATAATTATATAGGCCTTTTATGGTGTACATCAATCTCAAAATTGTATCTTATTTTGTCTTGAGTGAAGTATAAGATTGATGAGTATTTTTGAAAGGTTGAGCCAACAATTTCAGGAACTAACACATAACTTGTATTTACAAGAATGTATCACATAATGTAGGCCGTTACATTGTGTAGGCCATTTACAGTTGAATAATTGCTATGGTGTGATTTCACCATATCACTGTCATATTATAGATTCAGATACATGGATACAATTAAGTGTTGTCAATTCTAAATTACCATTTGAAGGATATATCAATATTTGCTGTTTACTTATCCAGAAATCTACTCAAAATGGTAAGTTCAAGTTTGTTTTGTTTAATAGTTTGCAAAAGTATCAGTCATATCTACTTTTGGTGTAATCCTGATCTCGTAGTGTTTTCTCAACGAACCCAGAGAACAAGTATAAGATACTTTAGAGTAAATATAATATGGAATTTTAATTGCTTGGTTCTACCAATAATGTGTCATGAATGATTATTTGAAATAGGATTATACTATATTGATAAAAAAGTGAAAAACCATAAGTTTGAAACTTTTTTGATAATCTTCAATTAAGCTAACCAAGCCTTCGTTTTATTCATTTTTACTGATGGGGGACACTTTGGATTGTATTTCTGCCAAGGCACATGATAATCTACATGTAAGTATTCCATTTAGGGGGGAAATTCCAAAGCAACATGACTTTTAAAGTGAATAATCTTTGTTATCTTGGATTCAAAGGAAAATATCAACTTGGTAAGGGATTCTGTTGATTGAAAAGTGCTAAGAAACTAATGGAAAGATGTTGAGAGAGTTGTTCCTAGATTTAATCAATGTAATTCTGCATTATCTACCCTTTGCATTCGTTTGACTTCACTTCTTAAAAGAGAGCTTCGTCTTCACTCTTTCAAACTAAAATAAACCTGTGAACTCACCGCGCCAATCGGTGTTCGTCGGCCAAATTTGACCGACGTTCTTTATATAGTCATTCCTTCTGACGTCATCGTTGAGCCCGGAATTGACCAATGACATGCGCATATTTAATTAGAACGCATTTGGCGTAAGTTTCTTCAAGCTCGCTGATTGGTGGAAGGTCAGCGCGTAGGTCAGAAGTGATTTACCCAAACTGTCACCGGTACCCGTCGTGGGGGCGGGGCTACTAAACTGTAATATGGTCTCTACTAGGCAGAGTGTAGTTTAACTAGACTCTGCACGCAGGGTATGCATTATCTTATCTGGTGCTATAATAGGGACATACTGATGGGAATATAATTGGTTGTTTTTAAACCACATTCAGAGCCAACAGTACCATATGGTACTGTTACTGTTTCGGCTATGGTACAGTAGGTTACCATAAAATAAGATAAATTTGTTTGTTTGAACAAACACACACACACACACACATACACCTGTAACTGTTGAACTTCCTCAAATACTCAACAGCTAGAACAAGGGCAATGACCTTAAGCCATCAATTATTATATGATATTTCATTCTGGAGTTTTACGCCCTACCAACTGACAATTTTTCATTCTCTTGTTAAATAGGAAACAGGCAAAGAGTCAGTGGTGTTGGCCAAGTATCATCAGTTGTGGTAACTAAGTTGTTCTAATTTGGGGAGGGGATGAATTATAATTTTGTTAGCAAAGAGCGGTGATTTTTTGAATATTCAAGTGAAACATTTAAAACTAAGAGGGGAGGGGATAAACCTTAAGGAAACTGATTTTGCTTTTCTGTACAGTTTATACTTAACACCACCCCTTAGTCAACTGTATGATATAAATTTCTGTTTTCAAAATGTTGACTTTCACTGAATAAATAGATTTTCTTAACTACATTTAACTACTTGGCTCCTTAGTTAATTGGTTTTAACAGGGACGTGTTTTACTTAAATAAGTCCAACTTTTACCGAGACAGGTTTGACTGTAGTTAGAGTGCATATTCAGGCCAAAATCATTCCATTTCCCTTCCAAAATTCTAAACTGTGTATAGACAGATGAGTATGTTAAAGAGAGGATGTTTATGGTATTTTGGATATGATGCCAAAGCTGTTGTCATAGTTTTGAATATAAAGCCTTGAACTTCATATTATTTTGTCTAAATGTACTGAATACAAAGTGGGATGCTCCATTATCTGAAATGTACTGAATACAAAGTGGGATGCTCCATTATCTGAAATGTACTGAATACAAAGTGGGATGCTCCATTATCTGTCTAGAAAATATTTATCAGGAAAATTTCTAATATATTTTTGCAGGTAAGCATTGTCCATTTTACCTCTTTGTACTCTTTCACTTATCAACCAGATTATGAGAAAGATATGAGCACTGAAATTGCTGATGACACAATATATTTTATATACAGGTCATAATTTTATAGCACAAGTGGGGGGGGGGGGCACAGACAGTTGGTAAAGTGGGGGGGTTATAAATCCTTTCCCTTGGACCCCCATTCTGAAGATTTATTCTGAATCAGTCCACCTACGTAATACCTTGATGGATCAAGATGGATTTCATTAGATCCACAAGTTTCAAAATGCTTGATTTATCTTACCCGACCAAGAACCCACCTGTAGTAGAGATCATTTCTGTAACATGCAGGTTCACCCAGCAGTTGGTTTGTTAAGTTTGTTTGTTAGATCCTTGGTGTTGTAATTACCATGTGGTATCTGCATCTTTAGCAAATTATTCAAGGTGGGGAGCTCTCCTGGCAGATCAGATCACTTGTAAAGGTTGAAGTTGGAAAAAAGAAATCTGTTTGTAATCAACTGTATCATGATCATCATCTCCAATCTGTGGAAGTTATAAGAGAATCAAATGTATCAACCCAGTTAGCTGATGCATCCTTATGAAATCAAAAGAGGTTCTTAGGGGGAGGTAGAGTTATGAAGAACATTTTTCATGCAATATTAAGTAACATATCTGGTGTTTTTGTTAATTCTAGTTTGAGACTGACCAAAAGAAAATCATGGCTTGTAGCCAGGATTTGCCAGGGGGGGGGGGGGGGGGTTAGTTTACAAAAATTTCCAGGAGGGGGTTCACATTTGACAATTTTGGCCCAAATATGGCTAAAATCACTTGAGAAGTGCTCAAAATGGTGAAAAACTGCATGATTTTGAAAGAACTTTGGCCAAGGGGAGGGGGTTCGCCCAAACCCTGCGACCCCCCCCCCCGGCTATGGGCCTGTGGATCTACCCCATTTTGTCATGCTTCTTTCCCTAATACTACTAGCTGTTAGAGTGCTTTTACCTTTTCATTGCGTACTTAGGCATGGGTTCAAAATCATCAACAGTTTTGGAAGAATGGAGATAGAGAGGGTAAACTGGGTAAATATCATACAGGGTAAATATCATATTGGTAGGAATTTTGAATATTCAAGTGAAAGAAATGTCAACATTTTAAGATTTTGTTCTATTTTGTATTATGAAGGAAAGGGGGGCAAACATAATAAAATTATATGTAACTGTTTTTCCACATCAATTACTGTTTCAGATCCCCCTCCCCGTAGGTTGAATTGATGCCACTTATTTCAGTGTTGTATGTACTCTCCAGTAAAATTAGGAGGGTTTCATATACCTGGCATTTGTTTGAATTTTGCATAGCAAGTTTATTTTTTCTTGATTCAGATTTCTGGATATACAGTATAAGATATTGAATTATATCTGAACGTCACTCCACACCAAGCAGAGGGAATTTAGAAGGCGTTGAACTGTTTGAAAGATTCTTCGCATTCACTGCGGAACTTTATATTTCTAACTGTACATTTCTCTAAAGAGCAATCATATTTTAATAATTTACTGTAAAAATATAATTTTTGCTAATATCTACAGTTATTCAGCCAGATCATCTTGTAAAAGCAATTATCTAATTGAGGTCATTGTAAAAATCATGAAATAGGGAATTAATATGATGTATATGAATTCATTGGAAATGACTAGTATGTTGCCAAATAATAGGAATTTAAGAATTTGTAAATTAATATACATATATGTATCTAACAGTTAGCTTGATATTCAAGTGTTCTTAGTTGGCCATGTTGCGTACCTGCCTTTATAATTTTACATAACACTATTTACCAAATCTGTACAACTTTATGTGACATAAGAAAAATGTATGGCAGAAAGTCAATGAGTACTATAAAAGTTCAAGTTAAAGTTAAAATGCAATTTATATCCAAATCACCATAAACATAATGGGGGAACCATTTTCCATCCTTTTTGATGAAGACTTTCTCTGATCTCTCTCAGAGATAGAAGAGACTATAAATCCCATATTACAATGTCAAAAACTGCAGTATACCAGATCATTGTTTATAACCTGAGACTTGTATCTTGTCTCTGGACCAGTTCAGTGCCAAAAAGCCGAATGCATGCATGGGTCCTTGTATGTTATTAACATTATACACCGACACTTACTATCCAACAATATTACGCAAGCAAGCTAATGTCACTTCCTAACAGTTTTTTCTTTATCAGAGATATTTATTTTTCTTTTGACGTTTCAAAAGGAGGGTTTCATATATCTGTTTGAATTGAGCGGAGCAAGTTTATTTTTTCTTGATTCTTATTTCTGACGAGAGGGAACATTCATAGAAGTTTATTCTTTGTTTCTCTGATATTATGAGGCACGTTGTTATTTTGCCAAAATGATGAGGATGTTTATTTGGATTGTTAGTATGTAAGACGTAAAATTATTCGAAAAAATTATACTTATATGCTGCAAGAAGAATGACGTAAAATTATTCCAAGAATTTATACTTATTTTTTGCAAGAAATATGACGTAAAATTATTCCAAGAATTTATACTTATTTTTTGCAAGAAATATGACGTAAAATTATTCCAAGAATTTATACTTATATGTTGCAGGAAAACCTAGCAAAGAAACGTAGAGAGAGTTCCCCTAAGATGCCAGAGCTTGCTGAAAATGAAAACGATGGAGACCCTAAAGCAGTTCATGCTGAGCCTGAAGATGATATTAATGGAAAAAGTGATGATGCGGTGCATGTGAATGGGGAATCCAGGGAAGGTCAGGAAAATGGATCTTCGTTCCCAAACTTGCCAAATGCTTTTCTGAAGAAACTTGGTTTGAATGGGGCAGACAAGGAAAAGAGGTAAGAAACCATTAATCATTAACCATGAGTTGAACCATTAAGGTATTACAGTCTCGTATAAAATCTTTTGGTCATATATTTGTGCATTTGTCAAGTAAAAATGCAAACTGTCTAATTGCTAAATCGCTCATTCTACTTGATCTGCATTAGCATATAGCACTCGTGAACTTCTGAATTTTTTTGTTAGATTCTATTTTAAAACTGTAAGGTTTAAGTGTTAAGGAAATACTTAGGAAAATAATGCATCAAAATTCCACAAGAGTTCAATTTACATTGTATCAGGCATATCATGGCATCTAGGTATATCCTAACTGGTATCAAAAGAGAAGGCATGAACAAACATATCTAAGGCACTAGAATGTATTGAAAAATGGGTTGAGATATTTTATCAACTTAACTTTGTAAAGATGGCAGTCAAATCTGAATTCAAATTCCAATCAAGAGGATGGAAAGTCCCAGAGCTTTAGTGATGGCAGACATAGTTACATCTCTTGCTTACCACCTTTGTTTGTCAGAATTTTCACCGGCTTGTTTACGAATATTACATGTCGTTGTGATGTTTTAATCAATGTTAGCATATTCCTTGTATCTTTCTTTATCTTCATGTAAAATAACAAGCTATTAGCCTATATGATATCAGTTAACACCCCAGAAATTAACATAATATTGTTCGAAGCATGTTTAGAAAATTTTGAAACCACCAGTGTTTTTCTGTCCATTTGACCAATCAGAGACGATGTCTTCTCAATACAAATTTTCATTACAGACATATGTCTTCTTTGAACCTTGGGATTATTCTCCCTCTTGTTCCAATCTTAAATGACTCTTAGCAAATGTATAACATCTGACATCTTTACAACATTATACTACAAAGTTTATATAAGATCATTCATTTAATCATAAATCCACACAGAAAGTATCATCCCAGAATGCACTTGCATTCTGGTCATCAAATCAGATTTTGAACATGTGAGGAAGTATGAGTTTTAGAATGGAATTGTGTGTGCTTGTTTTGGTTCCAACTTGTCTATTTATTGTGTTCCTCCCAGGTCTTGTTGAGCATTTCAAAATGTCTTCCACCATATATTGAGATATTCCCTTATAAAAAATTCAACCTTGAAAGTCCGAATTTAAACCGTTGCACAATCATTGTACAATCATTGATCCGATCATTTATGCAACCATGCCAACCGTTACGATGCAACCATTACAATTTTGGTTGTAAACTCATTGAAATGTTTCAATCATATGTAACCATTGTAAACGCTTGACAATTTTGGTTGCATTTCTTGCAACCGTTTCAATCAAATGCAACCCTTTAAACTGTGGCAATTTTATCTCAATACAACATAAAATAATTATCTTGCTCTTTAAAAAAAATATTTCAAATGTGTGTATTTCATGCATACTGTACATGTCAGAATTTTAATGGTTTGATCAAAAAGATATTTAAAGTATTGAAATAGTTAAGTAAACTTGTCTTGTGAATGAAAATATATTGAACCAATTTTCATCTAACTTTGAAGGATGGTGATTGTCTAACTCACATGTATATTATCTAGATAACAGCAATGCTTAGGCATAGCAAATCCCCCTCGCTGTCATGACTATCATTTTTACAAAATCACTTCACTACTTTTTAAGTTATTGCAAAATCATTTGAAAAAAATTTTGATTGGGTCAAGTCTTGGATTTTACACTTCACCTTGCAATCATCGCAATTATAAAGGAAGGAAGATGTGTCTGGAAGGAAGAAATCCTTCAATGGGAAAATAATCTGTTTTGATTTGATATTTTTGATTTGATAGAGAAAATGCAATCAGACATTACAGGATGTGTTTTAAATAATTAAGTCGATAAGCATAACTTAAAAAACTCTGATTACAGTTAGACTCAGTCTATCTAGTTTGATTAGAGTCTGCTTTGAAGGATGTGTCTAAAGAAACTTTATTAATCCATTAATCCATAAACAAAACAAAAATAATTCGGCAAGGCAAAACAAACCTTATTATATCAGTTTGATTAGAGTCTGCTATAAAGGAAGCATCCTATGTAATTTAAATTATTCCATACACAGAACTTGATAAATAATTTGCCAAAGAAAATCTCCCATATTTTCCTCCAGATTTTTCCAAGTTTAGAGTTTTGAAAAATAAGCCCTGTTTTTGGTTTTTATTTTTTAATCATCAACACATATCATTTAGACTGAAAACACTTTTCAGTACAAATGCTCTGCACTAGTGAATAAAGTAAAACCATGGACTTTCAATCTATTGAATGCCTATGGTAAAACAAACTAAATAAAAATGAAATAAAAAATTCTGAAAATATTATTTGCAGTTTCATATACTTGCTATTTGAGATTTCTCAGCACTTATTGGAGTAATTGAATAAAGAAATAAACCCTCAAAAATCTGAAAACACTTTTTAAATTTTAACTCCCCCCCCTCTGCATGAAATACATAATTAAAATAAATATATAGTATAACACAAGATGAAAATAGATATAACAGAAACTAGGACTATGAACCCTTTTTCTGGTCAAGCATTTTAATTAGCAGTTCAACCGTTTTAATTAGCTGTTCAACCGTTTTAATTAGCTGTTCAACCGTTTTAATTGGCTGTTCAAGCATTTTGATTTTCTTAAACCCATGAGAATATCAATATGTAGTAGGTATTGTTGTGTTGAGCATTGTTATAAAAAATATTTGCCAAGAAAGAACATGGTAATTAAATCTGTTGTGAATAATGTGTTTCACACATAATATACAGTCAATATCAAAATAGTCCTCTTGTTTGTATTTTTTAAATTTTAGTGAGTCATACTTTGGTGTTAACTACACATGGATACATTTGAAGACCCATTTTGCTGGGGGGGGGGGCTGACTACTGGCCTGTTCATTGTATATAAACTTTTGCGGGGGTCCTGAGCTAAACCCTCCGATATCAATATGTTCCCAAACCAATCTATTTGTATATCATGGGTATAGCAATAATCCATCTACCTTGACAAAATTTTACTGAAATTATTAATTCAGATGTTTTCCATTGAAACTGTGAAAATTAAGTCTTTGGTGCCTGAATGCATTATTACTATAAAAACATTTTCACTAAATAAAGCAATCAACTTGTGATTACATGTTTGTATTATTTTGTACATCATACCCTGCTTCTTTTGATCATACATGTATATCAGTCTAATCATGAACTTGAGTTTAAAGGAAATCTTAAGATTTTCCTTGGTCAATTTCTTAACCAAATTGGAATTTTGCTCAATTCTTTTCATAATTAACATTAAAAATATATTATTTTGGCAATATCAGATAACGGGAAATAAACGCTAGATATGGTACTTTTAATTGTGTAAATAATGTAAATGACAGAGAACAAAAATTATCATATGCCATTGAGTGGAAAACTAGTCTGGTATCGCATTCCTAAATCCGTACTGGAGAAAGAAACATATGAACATGAATTTAGTAATTTACTATAATAAACATGCATGTATGCTTGCAGAAAAAATATCCTAATATACTGTTGTTGAATAGAGGTAGATTCAAATCCTTACTTAAAGATAATTTTAATTCAAGTAAAATGATTACTTTTTTGGAACGATACCAATTCAGGGTGGTTGCAGGGCTTGAACTATGTAATCATTGAACAAAACGTATTGCAACCATTTACATTTTAATGTGAAATGGTTGCAGTTTACAATGGTTGCAGATTACAATGATTGTATAGAAATGGTTGCGCAGTCATTGAAAAAGAGTTGACTTTGTTTGGTTGAACGCAATGGTTGCACAATAATTGCTTATCACCGTACAATGGTTTTTCCTTTGATCTTAGTAGTTGAAACAATCAGTATTCAATGATTGATGGAAACGGTTTAAATTCGGACTTTCAAGGTTGAATTTTTTATAAGGGTATCGTTGTGTAAGTAAACTTTCGAGCGACAGTTTTTAACTCTTACTGAAATGCCAATATATTAATATTTCAAAGACCAGCTTAAATAAGCCAGGGGGTTCCAGCTTTTCAAGTGAGTTTGGCCATTCTTGACCAGAGTTGTCCAAAGTGACCCCCCTGGATTCTTTTAAAAAGTGAATCTCCCTTGGCAAAAAAACTTTAAAAAAACTTCAAAAATTTTTAGGGTGCACATTTGACAATTTTGGCCAGAAGTCTCTAGAAAAGTGCTCTGAATGGTGAAAAACTGCATGATTTTGAAAGAATTTTTGGCCAGGAGAGGGGGAGGGGGTTCGCTCTAACCCTGAATTCACCCTGGTGACGAGCCTGTGCTTGATAGTATTGCTGTTTGAGTTTAAGATGTAGGGATATCTATAAGAGCATACTTAAAAATAGTGTTAAAAGAAGTCAGTTCCTCAATATGTCAATGAGAAAAATCCCCTTCCATCTATGAGTACAACTTAATGTATGGAAATGAAAGTAGAAACTGGAAATGGGGGGTATTGCTATAATAGTAAGGACTACTTGACAATAGGAGAGCTTCCAAGGGTCTACTTGAACTGTTGACTGTCAAATAATTACCCCTAATCATTTTACATGTAATAAATACCAGCACATACTCAAGATGATCACAAATATAAGATGATATGATTTCAGTCTCATTCTCAACTTTGAATTTCCTTTACTTAAACATTGTATATATCAAATAAATAAGTCTAAAAATCTTTAAATTTAGAGGTGATTGTGTCATAAAGTAAATGACACCTGGGGGTTCTCATGATCAGCTCTTAAAAGGATGTGACACTTACATTGGAGACACTTACTTTGGAGACACCTACAATATGGGAAACACTTTTATGGGAGGCGTGTGCATGTAAAGGGATTTGCGTTTCACAAAAGACTTTTCACAGGACTTTGATCGTATAAGATTTACATGTGATGAATATAAATAATAGTAATAGTAATATGTCTACTACCAGGGTGCATAAAAGATCAAGACGCCTCAGTGGCTTACTCAAGTTACACCATTACAGGTGAGT